ACTATCATTTCCCTTTATTGCCTTTTTTCTTAACTTTTTCCATGTGGTTCAGTGATTGAGTTTGTTACCGACCTCAACAGCACCAATTCCGTTATTTCATTTTTAAATATGAGTCAGATTTACGTAAGATTTAGAATGAAATACTCGTTTTGGAAAGAACAAGATTGAGAAGATGCTTGAATGTCAGATTAGATGCTTGGATTCTTATTTGGCTTATAATTGTAGTCTTTATTCACCAAATGTTTACTGGGATCCTGAATCCTGAATATAAGCAGAATATGTACTACTATCCTGCTTATTCTCTCTCTTAATCTCTCTCTGTTTCTGTCTCTGTCTCTCTCTTTCTTTCTTCCTCCCCAGCTTTTTCCTTTTCTCCAAGCTATACAAGTGTGGTTTAGGTGTGATCCTTATCTTGGAGAGCTTATAAACTAGTTGTGATTGTGAAAGAAAAAATATTTTTTAAGGAAAATTAAAAATTGTGATAAATACAGTATAAATCTAGGACTAGGGGAGCTGAGAAGTGAGAGAAGGCACTTGGTATTTGGTGTATCATTCAAGCATGGGAGGGGTTTCGGCATGAAGATATGGGGAGAGTGACATTGCAAGCAGAGGCAGTGAAGTAAGCAAAAACATGAAGTTAAAAGGTAGGAAGAAGAAGATCAAATTACTAGAGGCAGTAAATAAATATATTAGAGAGAGTAGTGCGATGGAGCAGAAACGTATGCTGTGACTATATGTACATAACCTTGAATATTGGGCTGAGATGTTTAAGTTTTTAATTTTCTTTTTATCTTAAAAAGCAACTTTTTCCTAGAGACAGTGTTCCTAGAAATAATGTGTCTTTTCATGACCCTTATAATCAATAATATTTATTGAATATAAGATATGTACATAGAACTGGGGTAGACATTGCAGAGACTTACCCTCAAGAGTCCTTAAGGATGGCGACAGATGCGTAAACAAATAATTATAATACCATGTTCCGAATACCATAACAGTGATATGCCCATGAAATAAATAATTATGGAAAAAGAAACAACTGTCTCTGAAGGATCTGGATAAGATTTGTGGTTCAGTTAAATAGGGAAGATAGGCTTTCCAAAAGAATAATAAATCCAGCCTAGTTAAGATCAAGGGGGAAACTTAGAACATAGCAAAAAGCTCTATGAAGCTGCTTATGGTGAATGGAATGAGTGATAGGTGATAAACTGGAAGTGTGGTTTACAGCTAGGTGCTAAAGGGCATTGAGGGTCAGAGTAAAGGCTTTGGATCTATCTTGTAGACAATGAGTATTCACTAGAGGTATCAAGCAGGGAACTGTTAGCAGGGAAGTGGCATGAGTAGATGCAGGGGACTTGGAAGAATGGTGTGGCCCAGTTCCTATGAGTTAGGCCAGTGGCTTTGAGGATGGAGAGGAAGACTGGAGATTCAGGAGGAGTTGTCAATGCGTAACAAAGGACTAGAGCCAGTGTGCTATGTGGAAGATAAATAATAGATAAGGGTAAGTCATTTGCCATTTTTCAAGATTTTAGGAGGCAGATGCAGACCCTCCCAAAGAGAATAGCTTTTAGCTTTTACCGCTAAAAACTCTCATTCCAAATTGTTTACTGATTTTGTTTTTAATGGACTTGCTAAATCTCCCAAAGCATACCATCTAAAAGCCATCATCACCTTATGGTTTCTATAAAACTTTCACACAGGTTTCTTGTTTTGGTCCCTGCCTAGCTTTCATAGTTTTCTCACTTTTCTCAGATGAGAAAAGCTTTATAGTTGCCTTTTTTACCCCTGTTTTAGGTAAATGAACCAATGTTCTTAGCATTTGTCCTGGAAAATCTTTATTTAGAAAGACGTTATGTACAATTTTGGATTTCATTACTCTTTTTCATAAGAATCATCATCGAACTTGATATTTTCCAATGGTTACATTTATTTACAATATATAAGTACCTAACATGTTTGTACCTTACGTGTTAACTCTGCTTTCGTCAGCAATTTCTGTCAGTTAGGATTAGGGTTGGCTCAGTGTTGCACAGACTAAAATAACAAGGACTTATTTTTCTCACATAAAAGCCAGACCTACGTAATTGGAAGCTAGACTGGTGCCATTGCTCCACAAGGTCCTCAGGGAAGACCCCACTCTTTCCAGCTCACCTGCCATCACTCGCTCAGGGGGAAGTCCTTGTTTTCATGCCCTGAGATCATCCAGCCACCTCAACTCATCCCCCTCCAAACAGCAGTAAGGCAAAGGGTAGGGAAGAGGGCAAAGGCCAGTTGTCTTTAATAAGGAAAGGGTCTTCAAGAGTACAGAGACCTTTCTGCCTATATTTCATTCGTCAGTACTGAATCCATAGCCACAGTTGGCCGCAGGGTATGCACAGAGATGTAGCTAAATCGTCTGTTACTTTTTGAGAAGGTGAGAATGACTATTAGGGGAAATTAAACTTAAAAGGGAAGGAGGAGGAAATAGGATATTTGGGGCAGATAACCACATTAGCGAGCCAGAAAACCTTTGGTCAGTTGCACTTCCACCTGGGTTACCTCTCTGAATCTGTTTACCCTTCTAAAAATTAGAATAATCATTCTGTCCTAAATTCTTCATAGTGTTTGTGGTTGAGGGTCAAATACAATGATGAATTTATCAACACTGAAAATTGTGTTGCACAAAGGTAAAGTATTATTGTAAAAGTATTAAGCAATCTTCTGAATCAATAGATATTAGTCAGGTGATATGTCGGTTTACATCAGACCCTTTGGTAACCTTATTTGACAAGCAGAAGAATCATATATTAATGACAGATAACTCATATAGAGAGAACACATCTCTGTTTATGAAACACTTTCAAGAACATGATAATGCATTTGATTCTTCTGTCAACTCTGTGCAGTAAGGATTATTATGCCCATTCTACAGACAGGAAAACTAAAGCAGAGAGGTTAAATGAGTGGCTCAAAGGCATGTAGCTTCTCAGTGGTGAGTTTAGAAACCACTTTGTCTACAAATCTCTCCCACTTTTTTGTAATCTGTGTTGCTGCTTTAATCTTTACATATGCCACACTTCTTGTTGCCCATTTGGTAAAGTCTAGATCTCTAAGACTGGAGTGACAAACTCTCAGTTATTTATCCCTACTTTGTCTACATGGTGTTCTTTCCCATTCCTCCCCAACATGAATCAAATCCTTCAATCTGGCAGTCCATTCCTATATACATACACTACCCTGAAGAACCACTTACTTCCTGCCCTACTATAATGTTTATGATCTTCGCCTACTCAACTTCTGTCCTTTCTTTAAGTGTCAACTTGGGTCTCATCTTCTGTGTGAGACATTTCTTGAACACTTCAGAACACAGTTCTTCCATTTCCTTGAACTTCTGTAACATAGAGACTATATATAGAATGCATATATTACATTTAATTATAGATATACATTATACAGTGTATCAGATTATTCCATATGTCTTAGCTCTCTCTGACAGTGGTAAGAATATTGGAGGAACAAAAACTAGTACAGATTCAACTTAAGGCAGCTATTAATTCTTAAGTGTCTGCTAAGATCTAGTCTCAACTTTCATGACAGATGAGGGAAAAGGTTCAAAGAGGCAAAGAGACGGGTCTGATGTCAAATATCTAGGAATTGAATCCTGCTGTACTAAACTTGTGGTCTTAGGCTTGATCCTTTACAACTACCAGTTGAACATGTGACTAAAAGCCAAATACTGTGTGGGTGTGTTTAGCTTACTATCCCACGTTGAGAGAAGCCCAGAAAAATAGCATTCCTGATTAATGGTAATCCCTGGGTTAATTTATATATATATATATATATATATATATATTATATTCAAAACTGAGAAGATGACCAAAGCGATGGGAATTTTATCAGTAGAAAAGATAGATAAGAACTTCTAACTAAGTCAGGATGTTAAAGTGAACTGCAAGGCTATTCTCTTATGCACGCAGTCATAAATGTTTAGTTCATATTCACGTTGCCATCTATACAGCCTAGTTATATGATTGCTTTCCTCCTTTATGTAATATAAATTCTTTCGGGATGGGGACAATGTTTTATGCTTATGCTCATTTTGTAATATTAATGTTAACTAAAATAGTGCTATATAGGAATATATAATTCATAGAAATACATTTTTGACAGAAAAATGGATTATCTTCTTATTTATCTTCTTTCTGGTGTTTGAGTACTTTCTCCAAGTAGACAAGTAGACTGTTGAATATTTTCAGTAATGGACAACCCAAATATTTAAAGACTACAAGCATGTTTTCATTTTATCTTAGGATATTGAATTAAATTTATGAAGTTGATTTTTAATGGTTTGTGCATAATTATGCATATATATATATATATATATTTCCCAAGATATAAAATCTGTCTGTTAGAGCTTAAGCTATCTAGCAACCATTGATACCTCTATTTATCTATCTATATTTATATGTAAAAATGAAATATGTTACATGAAATATGAAGAGAAATGTTCTCCTGCCACTAGCATAGTGAAGGATGAGCCAGTGTTTTTGTGTTCATCTTGTGTGTTTAAGACAGTGTTCAGGACCGCAAGGAAAAGAAGCTCTGGCATATGTTATGAAGATCATATTTTATTATGACTTATGATTCCAAATATGTTTTCTTCTGTTGAGAATTTTTTGGTTCAAATTATTTGTTTGTTAGAAAAAATCATCTTATACTGTTTGAGTATATGTTCATTTCACAGAGCAGAGATCCTGAACTCTCAGATCCATGTGGGGCCCTTGGAGTCCTTCTAATCTAATCCCTTTATTGCAGATGAGTTTATGTGTTACCTGAAGTCACATAGTAATTAGTCATGGTGCAGAGACAAGAAGCCAGTTCTCCTCACTCTTAGAACTCCTCTCCCTCTCCTAATTTCAATTCATAGGTTTTAATCTTTAAAAAGAATCATTTTAAGAAGCAAGATGATTTATTCAAAAGTTCACTGATCCTTTCCTCTCTCTTCCTTTTTTCCCCTCTAGCCCTCTTCAATCTAATCCCTGTGGGCCTGCGTGTGGTGGCCATCCAAGGGGTGAAGGCCAGCCTCTATGTGGCCATGAATGGTGAAGGCTATCTCTACAGCTCAGTAAGTACCTTGTTGTGTGTGCGTGTGTGTATGTGTGTGTGAGTGCGCGCACATAAACTGGCATGGAGAGTAATGAAGTAACCGTTATTTTAGGGAAGAAAATTACAAGTTGAAGTCAATGTATATTTTCTGACCCAGTATATCAGGATTATTATGAAGATTTTATAATTTACAATGTTAAAGATCACGCTCTGTTGAGAAGGAGCTAGTAACTCTCCATGTGATACAAATTCTCTTTTTCTGTCTTTCACTTCCAGAGGATAATCTTTTGAATTTTACCTTTCTGTTTAATTCAAGAGGTAAAACATTTTTTCCTTTCTCCTGTTACCTCTCCTTCAAGCACAGAGGATGGTTTAGGAAGCTAAATTCTTGAATTTGTCTGGGAGTCTTCTCTGGCTTGTTGTGGAGAAAAAAACCTTTCAGAATAGACTGTGTTTTTGTTTGTATTTAATAGAACTGTGTAGTACCTAATTTGTCAGATTCCTGGGATAACTGGTCACTTTAAAGACATGTGAATTGATGGAATGAGCTTTGGATTAGGGGCTGGGATATTTGAGTTTTATTTGCATTTCAACTACAATATTCCTGTGGGAAAGTGGCCTCCTCTCTTTGACTTAATTTCCAAACTTTTAAAATGAGGGTGTTGGATCTCATGTTGTCTAACATCTCTTTTGAATCTAAAACTAACAAAATTAGGAGGCATCAGTGGCTACATTATGAGCCCTGACATATTTTAAAGTAGTTGATGGTCCCACTCTCAAGATAATAATTTATGCATTGAGAGAATGCAGCTGCACTGAATCTTCTGTATGTATATAATTCCTGCTGTGTTCTAAGGGAATGGCCTATTTGTAGTTCATGACGAAATATTCTTGAAAATCATGGTTACAGATTTCCACCCTTGCTTTCTGTGATCTCACTAAATAAGACAAGGTTATTCAGGAAGTTCACTTATGCCACTAGATTCTCAATTAATTATTGAATAGCTTTTATTAAACTTTTTCCACAATCAATTAAATGAATCTCTGGTACCCTAGGCTTGCTTACTGGTAGTACAGCTGTCATTCATATTAGAATTCTTGAAGATGCCATTTTACTCTTGAACATATTCACATCTGAATATGCATTTATATATCAGATGTGTACATACACATTTTTTCAATGGTCTACTCAAAATAATACTTAAAGATAGATACATTTTGGTCAGATGGTCAAAACAATGGGCTTTCATTTTTAATGTGTCATAATTCTAACATTTCTTAATGTCCAGTTATTGTGAATCTATATTTTAAATGTGAGAATTAAAATAAGAAAAGGACAGTTATTGTTTTGAATAATTCCAGTTGGTTAAACTTTTTCTAAAAAGTTTTGAATGCAATACAAACTAAAATATTTAGGTGATCTTAGGATAGTATTGACTTAAGAATTTAATTAGTCATCAAGTAAACAGCTAAAGGTAGACTATATTTATATTTATATTTAGAAGGTTGTTATTCATTTTTATATTTATTTAAAAGATCATAATTCTGGTTGTAATTCTACAAAAACAGTAGAGTTCAGATTTCTGAACCAGAGTTCATTTCCAAAGGTCTGGGAAGAAGAAAAACACAGATTATCTGACAACAGTATTGTAGCAGATGGCAGCTGTATAGGAACCCGTGTGTGTTTTGTGTGTGTGAGTGTGTGTGTGTGTGTGTGTGTTAAGGGGGTGCAGGCAGGGAGGGGTCCCCGTTGTTGGGTGCAATCCCAAAGTTCCTGGGAGAGGAGCCTGGATATTCAGCATGACATAACTGAACTTCATATGTGGCAGCATTTTTAGAGATACACTTTTTCTTTTTTTCTTGCTCAGAACTAGGCTTAAGATACAGGGAGCCCATAGGAGAGGTTTTAAGAAATTCTTGACTAGAGAATTTTACTGTAGGTACTTTTTTGTAAAGGATCTAACACCTTAGTAAAACCAATAATGACCTGTTGAGTTACCTGTTTTCAGCTTTCCTCTTCACTTAAATCAAATTTGCCTCATACCGAGAATTGCAACCCTTTTCCCTGTATGGTACTGTGAGGCTACTGGAACAATTCTTCTTAATTATAAGCTGGGCCTCACTGACATTGAGCATCAGGCTCTCTACTTTCAAAATCACTCTCTTTCTGGATAGGACTAACAGTATGAAATTCTGGTTTTTAATTTTAAGCAGGGGCATAGGCCTGAAGATTTTGTTATAGGACTAAAGGGGGCCAATATCAGGAGAGACAGACCTGAAAGAGAACTGGGTATCAAGGCTTCATCACACTGGTTTTGCTGCTTGTCTGTGTGGCATGTCTCAGCAAGAGAGCACCAGTGTGGCCAGGAACCTTGTGGGGAGTTAAAAACAGGATGTTACAGGCTTTCGTGATGTGCTTTTGGTATATGTTAAGGCTTGAAGTTATTTGAAAAGCAGTTTCCTACTTGATGTTAAACAGTGTAGCTGAGCACACCAATAAGGCCCATACCTGGCATTATGGTGGGCGCAGGGGGTCTGGTGGTGTGTGTCTGAAGGCAAACCCTAGAGGTCCTAAAGAAGCTAACATAGAATCCAAGAGAAATTCTCAAATGGTATCATTTATCTAGTGGCATTCACCTTTTCTGTATTCATATTTAAGCTAGGAATTCCCCAGTTACTTCTGATTCCCCCTCACCCCACCCCCTTTACCAGGAGACAAAAGAGACAGTAGTAAAGACCGAGTGACTGTTAGGTAGCATAGAGCTAAAGTTTCCGGATCCATTCTGAAAATATTTTAATAGGTGAGTTTAATCCATAAGCATTTAATGAGATTGTTGATGCATCTAGATTTGTTTTTACCCTTGTAGTTTGCTTTTTATTTTGCTTCTATTTTCTTCTTCTTTATTTTCTCACATTACTGAAACATTTTCCTATTCTATCTTTATTCTTCTGCTGGTTCATAAACGTAGGTTATAATTCTAGTGTTTTAATGATTTAGACTTTTTTAACAGACATACATATGTATATAATTTGCTAAATAATAAAACATATTATTTATTTCTGTCCTTCTTCCAAACAGCTGATAGACCTTAGTATGTTTTCTTGCTTAGTAAACACCACCACCCTTCTCACCAATTGGATTATTTACACTTTAAAATTAATATGCACAATTAGTTATTATTCTATACTAAAAGTTACATTTATCAATCTTTAAAATAATTTCTGTGCACACAGGTTTTGTTTTTGTGTGTATCAAATTCGGTCACTCTGAGTTTACTTTTCTTCTAAACAAAATCTTCCACTGTTTTCAGCGTGTGCATCTGTAGGTGGTGAATTCCCTTCATTCTGGTATCTGTGAAAATGCCTTCCTTTCACTTTCACTCTTGAATTACAGTTCAGATAGTTATACAGTTCTTAGTAGACCTATATTTCCCCCAGCACTTTGACAGTTATATTCTGTTGGCTTCTGGTATATACTGTTGACTGTGAGAAGTTTGCTGTCAGTTTAATATTCTTTCCTTTGTAGGTTATCTATATGGAAAATTTTAAGGACTTTTTCTCTTTATACTTTATAGTTCTGCAAATTCACTATAATGTCTAGTTGTAAATCTAATTAAGTTATCTTGTTAGAAATTCAGAATGCACTTTCAATCCAAAGAATCAGACTTCTCTAATTCTGGAAAGTTTTAACTCTTCCCATTTACATTTTATTTCTCTGTTATACTTGCCAGTCTCTTGTGCTGATAATATTTAAATCACTTTCACTAGAAACTTGCAAATTTATCTGCTCTAGAAATGATGCCATCTGTTTTGTGATTTCAGTCACTATGCTTTAAATTTTTGGATGTTTAATGGTTTCCATTCCATATCTACCTGATCTTGATTGATTTCTTCCTGTTTTTACTATCTGGCTCTTTTTACAGAAAGTTATTAAGTCATTTATCTCTCTGAGCTTTCTTATAATACTTGTTATACTTTTCCATAAAGTTAGTTTCTCTTGTAATGAATTCATGTTTCAATCGTTGATTTTGTTGGCTGTCATTTTTAGAATTAGACTGAGATTATATTAGACTTTAGAATTTGTTTTGCATGTGTTTGGAATTTTGGTCTGTAGGCCCATTTCTCTCTTTCTTTCTTCATGATCTTCTTCTTTTGAAGTCTGCCCTCAATTTCTAGCAAATTTTTGGTTGCTGCTATCCAACCTCCAGTGGTCCTAGTTTAGAATAAGATTTTAAGAGTCATTTCAAGGCTGCATCCTAGGGTAGCACCGGGGTTAGGAAAGGGGGCCTGGGCAAGGGTATGGCTTGGTCTTGTTTCTCTCAATCTGAGTCTATGTCTATCATTGCATCTTGCTTAAAATACTAGCAGCATTTTTAAAAATACAGTTGATATACAATATTATATTAGTTTCATGCAATCTACATGGTGATTTGAAATTCACATACATTAGGAATAATCACCATGGTAAGTCTAGTAACAATTTGTCTCCGTACAGTTATTACAATATTATTGATCATAGTCCTTATGCTACATATTACATCTCTGTGTCTTATTATTTTATAATTAAAAGTTTGTACCTCTTAATCCCCTTCACCTACTTTGCCCAACCCTACACCCCCCCCTCCCATCTGGCAACCACCGGTTTGTTCTCTGTATCTATGAATCGGTTTTCATTTTGTTTTGATTGTTTTGTTTTTTATATTCCACAAATACGTGAGATCATATATTGGGTTGGCCCAAAAGTTCATTCGGTTTTTCCATAACATCTTATGGAAAAACCCAGATGAACTTTTGGGTCAACCCAACAGTATTTGTCTTTCTCTGTCAGACTTATTTCACTTAGTGTAATACTGTCTAGACCCAACTATGTTGTTGGAAATTGAAAGATTTCTTTTTCTTTTAAATGTTCCATTGTATATATATACCACATCTTTTTTATACATTCATCTGTTGATGGACACTTCGGTTGTTTCCATATCTTGGCTATTATAAATAATGCTTCAGTGAACATTGGAGTGC